TTTGATAAAACTTCATGAACTTAATAAGCATAAGAGGCTTAGTATTCAACCACAACCAACATTTGAGTCATTTAACCACATTAGGACATAATCACATATAACCCCTTTACCTTCACATTAAGCCTTCACCCCAAGTAACCCACAAGCTATACTTTGTGCAATGTATGGGTAGCGTCCCATACCACCATCCAAACCAAAGTACCACCTCAAGGTCACCAAAAATGAACTTACCATTCAACCTTTTCATACTTACCAAATACTAATACACAAGAGACAAAAACATTACACAAGTCATATCAACACATAAGGACCATCACCTAAGACAACTCTAAGTATTACTTGTGCATTGTGCAAGTAGCATCACATAATACTACTCACACTAAGTACTCCTTTGAAGTCACCATAGGCAAGGCACATTCATATTCGTTAAGTCATGAAAAGAAGGTAACTCATGATACAATCCAAGTATAGCATGCATCTTTACATTTAAGTAGATAAGAGTCAACATTCTTCATTAGCTTCATTTCATTAAGAGCACCCTCATTCACTGGACATTAGATCAACATTCTCATTAACATCATCATAAGAGCACAATCATTACAGTTAACATTATAAAGGAACACGCCACAACCTCTCTCAAAGCCTACTTGTGCAACGCATAGATGGCGTCCCATACCACCCCCACACTAAGTAGCGCATTCTTAAGAAGCCATTGTTCATTAAAATTCCTTGTGGTGGTAAGCATTAACCGAAATAGACCATGTGAGCAATTCATAGAATCCCGGTGTCACCCTCACCGGATAAAAGATTCCTTCTTGCTTAAGGTTGGACCATTGTTTTATAGTTTAACTGGATCCACTAGCTAGACCTATGTGGGCACATAGTTATGGGATAGGTAGATTTGTACTAGATACCCTGCCTCAACTCACGGATGAGCATCCATCTCAAGAGATTGTTACTTGATACCCTGTCTTAACTCCCGAATGAGCATCTATCTCAATTCATATCCACTCGATGCTTAGAATTGTTCCCCACGAAGTACATTACATCATTATATTAGTTCATTATGGGATGAGAGATTGTTACTAGATACCCCGCTTCAACTCATGGATGAGTATCCTTCTCAAACCCAACATTCTTAAAAATGGGATGTAGGGACTGTTACTAGATACTCTTCTTCAACTCTCGGATGAGCATCCATCCCATACCAACATTCATTCATTGGAAAGCTCATAGATTCAAAGATGAAAATATCCTTTCACCTAAGAATCCCCTTATTTTGAGAAAGTCCTTTCACAACAAGTCATTATCATTTATTAGAGTACAATTGAAATAGCCTTTCAATTAACCCATCATCATTAACATTATCATAGAACAAGATTCATTAGTCATTCATGAGTGTGTGCATGCATGTGAGAATCACGTTTCACATATGAATCATTAATATGTGTTAATTGAGAAATAACATTTAATCATATCACACTTACATTCTAAGCATGCTCATTATACATTTATTGATATCACACACATATACTTTACATCATGATCATTCATAGATCATTCATATATAGAGGTACAAGGAAGATATCAATCAATTCAATACCACAATATACATAGCAACTAAACACCTCCACCTTTCAAGTGGATCAATAGCTCAAGCACAATTCTACTTTAATATGTAATTTGATCATAACTTTCCCTTCAAGGCTTAAGAACCAACATCAATCAATAAATCCAAGATACTAAAATAGATAATGAAATTGACATGATTCAATCACTTAATTCAATATAAGAAATAACAATTCAACATACTTGCATAATCAATCAACTCCAAATCACAAACCACAATTTAGGAAATTGGGGAAAAACATGGGTTCTAGGAAGAAATCATATTCATTCATCTTTAAATCCACAACTCATTCATAAATCAATGCAACAAAGCCTTTGGAAATCATTTAGAACCGAACCCATGCCTAGATTGAAAACTAGGGTTTTAGAGAAAACATTGCAGACTTGGAATCACTTTTGAGATTGGCTCCTTGAAAGAAACTAAGTCAAGGATGAAGACCACCATATATTATTGAGAAGAATCCCATGAAAATCATTTGAAATACTTGAAGATTTGAGCTTGAGAGCTTGAAGTAGTCACCTTCAATGGAGGTTTCTAGAGAGAGAACTTTTGGAGGGAAGGGGAGGTTTTGATATGGGGTTTTTCAACTAATGAGGTCTAAATGTGTTTTAATACTTTTAAATATCTTAATAAACCTAAAATAACCGTCCATATCCTTAAAAGATCATAAAAAGAATTTACCACTTAGCCCCTACTAAAGCAGAACCCAAACCAGAATCACAGGTGTGACTCACTCCCTAGACTCACGGACCGTGAGTCCACTAACGGACCGTGCTATTGGTCCGTGGTCTGGGGCTGCAGCTTGGTTCATGGGGGTCTGACCCACGGAGGCCATTCACGGACAGTGGATGGACCTACGAGGTGTGGATCCCTTCCGTGGTTCACCCTATTTTTGCCAACTTCAAGGTTCTTTGGGGTCTTGGGGGTTAGACTAGGGTGGTCCTTGGGGAGTCGTACCTTGACAAACTAACCCCTCAACCATAGCTTGGGACAACATTAAACCACCTCAAACGTCATGACAAACTCACACACTCACTAGTTAGGCTCTAGTTTAACTTATTCGATTTATGGGTCGTTACACCTATGTACAATATAAATTAATCATATAAGCATTACTCTAAAAGCTTTATCATTCTTAGTTCTATAATATTAGCTTTACTCTAAGAGCCCTAATCATTGTAACTCATCATATATACCTTGATCTCAAGACAACTTTATCCTCAAAGCCTACAAGTCATAATTCATCACATATACTTTGATTTTGATCAATTCAAGTCTATAGGATTTACTCTTAACCAATTCATATCTATGTTCTCTAATATCAAGCAATCTATAATGTAATTCATCAATCCTAGAAGATCACATCTAAGCCATAAATTTCCCCTTTCATGGCATATAACCCAACTATATCAAATTCACCTGAGAAACATAGGTTAAGTATGGATCCATGAATACTCATACTAAAACATGCAATTCCATCATAAACAAACATAAACAATCATAATCCACTCATGGGAATTCTTCTTCTAAATTGGGGAAATCATGGGGATTCATGCATGAAAGGAATCCATGAATGAATAAGTTATCATACCTTTATTACAAAGCCTACCAAGCTTGGAAGAATGGAGACTTGGCTTTACCAAGCTTGAACCCTCTTCTTCTTTCTATAGAAAGAATATTTGAGAGGGATTTGGGTGAATGACTTAGTTTAGGGGTCTAAAGTCTTTATATAGGTGGTCTAGGTTAGGGTAACACGACACCACTTAATTCTAATTAAATCCAGAAAGTCTTAAAGTGCCCCTAAACTAACCGCCTTAACTGCCTCACAGGTCCTAACCACGATACTACGTTGACGGGCCGTGGATAGACCCACGGTCCACCCTAGTCAACCGTGGTTTGGGTTCTGGGATTTGTCAAAATGAGGTTTGTACCTACGACCCCCATCCATGATGCGTTAACCCATCTACGGAGCGTGGGTCCTGTCATGGTCACTGCCTTAGGCAAATTCTCAGGGTGCCCATCCACAGGGCCTAACTATGGGGCGTGGGTCCAACCAGGGGCGTGGTTGGCCCTCATGGGTACCACCTGAAAAAACTCATTTTTTCTAAGCTTCCCTCTTAAGGCTACAAGGTGTTACAATAACTTCCCCTTGAGATCATTCATCCTCGAATGATGTTCAAGGCACTTCTTAAAGGTAACGACTCAAGACTAGCAACCCATCATGCATGAAACTCATCTAAATGTATACAACCATGGAGGAAACGTCAACTCCAAGATAAACATATTCAATGCATCACAAGGAAGTAGGAACTACATCTATCAACCAAAAATGCATGAAATTGAACATTTCTCAAGTTGAAGGAGGAACTTACCATCTCCAAGCTAAATCATGCTCAACACAATCTCATGGAGCCTATATGCAATTCAATGTCTAGAAGCATATCTAAGCATGATCATCAACTGATCTCATGAAGTCTATAGGAAACTCTACTCAAGGCACTACAACATGAGGAAAACAATTAACATAAGTCACTTCTTTGAAGACTTAAGCTTTTTCATGAACATTCATATAGAGAAATCATGGAAAAACATAAAACACAGATGATTTTCTAAACAAGGAGCTAACCATAAGGAACTCGTCCTCATAGGATGCACTTTCATATACTCCCAAACCTTCTAAGGGAACTAGAGGTGTTGGATCTCTAACACACTCTTTCTACCTAGAGACATGGAAAAACCAAATGCACCGATGCCACTCATTAGGCAAAGATAACTCATCATAACCCTAACCACATGTCTCAAGATCTCTTATGGGCCTACAAAATGGGGACTAAGCTTCCCTCTCTTACTACACTCTTCTTGAGTGAGATATTTCAAGTAAGCCCAAATCATAAACGTTCGAAATTCACAATGACTTGCTATCTGGGCACACCATCTCCCCATTGGGAGGAAGCCTGAACAAAGTCTACCAACCATTTCCACCCATATCATCATCTATGGTTGATTCTACCAACCAATCATATCTAGGTATTATTTAACACCCTACTAATCATTACATCATATTTCACCTTTCTTTGGTGCTAACCTGACTTAAGATCAATCTTAGAAAGGTAACTGGCCCTTTGGAGTTGGTCAACACTTGAATCTATCTCCCTCACCTTAGCTAGGTGGTAGATCCAACCCTCAAACTCCTCTTCAAGACAACACATAACCCAAACTTATGGTATACGCTTTCCCTCCTTCCACTCTAGAATAGGCTCATTCGGGAACTAACAATTGACCACATGGGTTTTACAATCACATAAGGGCATCATAGGAGTGCAACCAACACATCACACAAATGACATCAAATTTTAACAAAACATAGACATCAATTTGGAGCACATTCATGGTCACCTCTAGCTTGAAGTGAATATAATCGGTTTTTCTTGGGAACATCCTCTCTTCCTTTAGTCTTTGCCTTAGTACAATTCCTCATTTTGTGACCAATTTCACCACAACTAAAGCAACTCTCTATGCCAGCTAAACATCTACCCTCATGTCTCTTTCCACACCTAGAACAAGTAGGCCATAAGGATTAACTAATAATTCCTTGTGGCTTAGGGTTAGATGCCCTATTTTCATTATACTTAGGAGCATTGGAAGAACCTTGCCCAGAAGACCTTTGTCAATTTCTAGAACGACCATGTCCATCGGACCTTTCATAACAGAACTTATCATCATACATTCTATACCTCTTTTTCTCCCTAGATCTCCCTTTTAGTTTCTCCTCCTTAATTTGTTGGGCATGAATCATAAGACGAGCAATATCCATATCATTAAAAAGCATAGTCGTACGACATTCTTTCACCACTAAATCGGACACTCCCGAAACAAACTTACTCATCTTAGTCTTACAATCCGCCACAATAGAAGGAGCATACTTAGATAGTTGGGTAAACCTCAAAGCGTATTCCTTAACACTCATACTACATTGCCTGAGGCTAATGAATTCAAGAACCTTAGCCTTTCTCATCTCTAAAGGTAAAACCTATCAAGAAAAGCATTTTTGAACCTTTCCCATTCCATAGGACCCATCTCTACCATTCATGCTTCTTTTCATTGATTAAACCAAACTTGAGAAACTCCTTTCAATTGGTAAGCGGCCAATTCCGCTTTCTCTACTGAAGTAACTCCCATAATATCTAACACCTTATAGACCTCATCTATAAACTCTTGAGGATCTTCCTAAACTTTGAAGCCATAAAATTCGGAAGGGTTCATCCTTGTAAAATCCCTCACTCTTGAAGTCGTCGTACCCACAATTGGGTTCATAGGATCTACTTCCTCTCTATTGGCTTGTGTCGTCACAGCTTGATCCAACACTTGAAAAGTTGATCTAAACTCCCCATTAGTCACATTCTCACCCGAAGGTCAATCAGAGCTTGTGGAGCTTGTGGAGGAACTTCTTGATCCACCATGTCTTACTCATTCCTTCTAACTTTAGCCCTTGTAGTAGTCATCTTCTGAAGACCATCGGGTAAGGATTACGAGAAAGACCTAATAGAGACGAACTCTATGGAACGACTTAGAGTAATGAAGAAGTGAGATTTCCTAATCATCTAATAGCTTCTCATTCATAAATGTGGCATGCTTCACACTTATGAACAAGACTCTACTAGACGTGCTTTTGAGATATCCTAGAACCATTCTAAACCTTGTGCTCTGATTACCGGGGGGGGGGGGGGGGTACAGCCTAGACGTAACATGGCGTACAAGACTCCGAGAGGCCTCATACAAACCACTTAGCATATCATAACATTAAAGTAATAGAAAATGGTACGGAAATTTAAAACATTTTCCATACAATAAAAGTCTTTAACATTTGTCTCAAATCATCTAAAACATGAATGGTCTTTGGGACGCAGCCCATAAAAAAATTCTAACATGAAAATGAAAGACATAAAGGAAAGCTAATCAAATCCTCAATGCTATGATGACTCATTAAATCTTAAATCCTTGCTCTATTATGAACCTTACCACGAGGATGGAAGTCAATATCATCGGACCCTACATTTGATAAGAATGTAGACAAGAGTATGCGTTAGTACAAAATGTACTAAATATGATGGCTAGAATAAATCATCCACATAGGCATAATGTAGGCATTAGTCAACATAAGACATATACCATGATCAGAAGAGATAACAACATAAGTCATAAGCATATTCAATGCACATAAAACATCATATCATAAGAGGAACACTTCTCAAGTAACCTCAACTTTACTCATTACATAGGTTATCACATCTGTTCAAACATATCAAAGGAAGGCAACTCTAACAATAATCCAAGCTAAGCTTACATCATACAAGCAAATCTCATAATATAACATACTTATGATACTTCATTGAGGTAACCTTGCTTCATCATACACATGCTACTTTATTTAGTACTATTCATGGAAGAGTACTTCTTTACTAGTCTATTACAAGTCATCACAACTGAATGGTTACGATTTACCAATTCAAGGCTATCAAGGAAAAGCACCTTACTATGCTAGACCAAGATATCATAGATAGCACACTCTCATGCAAGTCCAAATTACTCAAGGAAGCATACTATTGCTCAATCCAAGCTATCATGAAATGGTGTGGCCTCACCAAGTCAAGCTATCATGCAAGTATCCTCTCATGCTAGTTCAAGCTATATTGGAAAGGTACGATTTCTCAATCCAAGGCTATCCATGAGCTCTACTATCTCAAGCTACCATACATGGTCTTGTCTACCCAGTCAAGCTATTAATGAAGGGATATCACATCTCTCCTTCAAGCTAACATAGTTTATATATGCTTTGATTCATTTTAGGTTAGCAAGCCTTTCCAACCTAGAATCATTGTATGTGAGAAAACCTTTCACATTAATTTTCATGTGTTCATGAGAATTTCCTTTCAAGCAACACAACATCAATCTCAAAATTATTGACACTTTACTCTCAAAGTGTTCTTAAAGCATTTACGTAAGTTGTATGAGACATGCACGATCTCATACATTCATAATATAGGGCATGTGGGTAAATCCTTCCACAACAATCCTATCTAGAATATACATTCATCATATAAGCTTTACTCAGAAAGCTTTATCATTCTTAGTTCATCATATTAATTTTACTGTAAGAGCCCTAATCATTATAACTCATCATATATCCGTTAATCTCAAGACACTTTATCCTCAAAGCCTACAAGTCATAATTCATACACATACTTTGATTTTGATCAATTAATGTCTATATGCTTTACTCTTAAGTAATTCATATCTATGTGCTCTAATCTCAAGCAATCTATAATGTAATTCATCAATCCTAGAAGATCACATCTAAGCCCTCAGTTTCCCTTTCACGGCATATAACCAAACTATATCAAATTCACCTTAGAATCATAGGTTAATCATGGATATATGTTTAATCATTATAAAACATGCAATTCCATCATAAACAAACATAAACAGTCATAATCCACTCTATTGGATCATAACCCATAATATTTGAAGAAACCCTAAATTGAGTTGGGGAATTATTCTTCTAAATTGGGGAAATCATGGTGATTCATGGATGAAAGGAATCCATTAATGAATAAGCCATCATACCTTGATTACAAAGCCTACCAATCTTGAAAGAATGGAAACTTGACTTGACCTAGCTTGAACCTTCTTCTTCTTCTTCTTCTTCTTCTTCTATCTTTCTTTCTAGAAAGAGAATATTTGAGAGGGATTTGGGTAAATGACTTAAAGGTTTAGGGGTCTAAAGTCTTTATATAGGTGGTCTAGGTTAGGGAAAAATGACACCACTTGATTCTAATTAAATCTGGAAAGTCCCAAAGTGCCCCTAAACTAACCGCCTTAACTGCCTCATAAGTCCCAACCACGAGACCACATTGACAGGCCGTGGATGGATCCACAGTCCGTTCTAGTCAACCATGGTTTGGGTTCTAGGAGTTGGCAAAATGGGGCTTGGACCTACGATTCCCATCCACAAGGCGTGCGTTATATCGTGGTCACTACCTTAGGCAGATTGTCATGGTGCCCTACAAGGCCCTACGGGGCGTGGTTGGCCCTCGTGGATGCCACCTGAAAAATCTATTTTTTTCTAAGATTCCCTCTTAAGGCTACGAGGTTACAAAGACAGAAGTTTCACAAGAGCTTGAGCATTGGCATTAATGGAAATAAGTTGCTGATCATTTTATGGTTAAATGGTGTCGTGCGTGGTATGGAAGTAATGACAACAGAGTGGGTATTAGGAATAGAAGGAAGACATGGAAGAGTAGAAACGATTAATTGAGGGGTGGAAACATGAAAAAGATGAAAAGTTGCAGACGACGGAAACAATGACGTTGCTGGAAGGTTAAGTGAAGTCGTAATGGTCGTCATTGGTGCAACAGAAGACTGAGTGTTTGTTCCATTTCTCTAGAAAAGATGGTATTGGAGGATTCAAAAATTATTGTGAAAAAAAATTGAGTTGTTGTTAGGCGAGCAGCTCTGATACCATGAAAGATTAAGAAGATGGCTGAATTCTCTATTTTGTATTAACATATTGTTTCAGTATTTATACAAGAAAGCAAGAGATAACCTATCAAAATAGAAGATGCCAATTGTAGAGAAATTCTAGTCAACTTGATTACAAGAAATCGCAAGGAATTATAATCAAACCATATAAGATTATAATCAAACCATATCAATCACTTGACAATAAGATGCTTTCCTTATACTAGATACATCAAGAGTTAAAGAAAACCATAATGTGATTGAGGAAGGTATGTCATTAAGAAAGTATTACCATGCACCTCTATAAGATTAAACTAAAGGTTACCTACTGTCTCAACACTTAAGACATCATGTTATTGATCAAAACGTGTTGAATCAAAGCATATGAGTAACACAACATGTGATTGTAAAAGAGAGGGTATACTTTAAAAGTAATTAAATTTTGTCAAAGCACACTTCAATATTAAATGGAAATAGAATTACATAGATATGTCTTAGGATATATGAAGGGGCTAATCAAGCAAAGGATATACACATGGAGATTTCTTTAGTCATCTAGGAAGGGAGGAAAAATAAACATAGTTTTATCTGAATCATACTTAACTAGACAGTTGTAATAACTCAGATTCGAAAAAGGCTAAAAAGGGCTAAATGGGCAAGTAAAGAACGTAAAAGTTGACCATGGAACCTCCATGGAGCGTTAGACTGGTCGTGTAGGCGACCACAGTCCGTTAAAGGGTTTGTGAAAATTTTCCAGAATCTGCCCCAAACGGCCCGTGGTGACTTAGACGTCCCGTCTAGTGGGTCGTCAAGTCACCCAGTTAGAAACGGTTTCACCCAAGTCATTGTTAATGACCACGGATGTCTGAACGGTCCATGAAGTTTCACAAATACCATGAAGTCGTCCATGAAGGAGACCTATCAGACTTAGGATTTTAGGTTAACTTCAAGCAATCATATCTTTTAGCACAAAATTTATTAGGAGGCTCATAGCCTATAAAATTAAAAATCTTTGTGTCCTATTTCCAACGCCCCCAAGTTTGCCTAATTTTGAGTCGGGAGTAAAACGTTATGCCTGTTTTAGTGAAGCTTTGTCGGGTAGGGTATCTTCACAACCAACTTGACGGGCCATCATATTCTAGACGGCCCCTGAAGCCCTTCCAATGAGGCATTTCGGTAGTTTCTAAGAAAGAGTCATATAGGTCTTTTGTCAATTGTTTTAACTCAATACTATGTCATTTTACCTTCTACCCTAGGCCCTATATAAACACTTTTACCCCTAAAATCACCCAATTCAGTTTCCTAAATTCCCTAAACTTTACCAAATTCAACCGCTCCAAAATCTTCTCTCTAGATCAAGGAAGAAGAAGAAGCTAGGGTTCTTCAAGTTCAAATCGCCTTTCTTCAATATTGCTTAGAGCTTCAATCAAGGTATGTAGGAAGTTCATTAATGGGTTCAATTCACCCATTGAGCCCCTAAAGTTTCTTCAATTCTCCAATTCAATTTTTCAAGATTTGATTAGATTTTCACTCAATTCCTCATGGATTCTATTTTTATGGATTCAATTCCATTATTATGATCTTATTTCGATGATTTTAACTTAATTACATGCTTTTCAACCAATTCCATGTGAACCAATGCATTGATCTATGAATTTTGACTACATGGATTTATGAAGAAGCTCTGAAAAGATGAATTTATGAAGAAGCTTGAAGCTATGAATATGTTATGAAATTATGCATGTTTTTATGAAAGCAATGTTTATTATTCACGTAAGCTTATTAATAAAGATATCTATATGTTCTATGAAGCTTGGTCACATGACATGAATGACATCTGGATTTGCCATCAATATTTTTTGGGCTATTTTCCTAAATTAGGTCTTGATTAGTATGGTATTCGGATATGCCATGAATAATTCTATCACTCTTTCAAAACTAT